AATCAATTGCTGTAATTTCTAATTGTTTTAGCTACTAAAAATTGTACCTACCAATTGTTGTAACGTCTAATTATTGGAGCAACCAAAAATTATGACTGTTAGTAATTATAACAACTAGTATTTGTAACTACCAATAGTTACAACTACCAATAGTTTCAACTACCAATAGTTACAACCACCAATAGTTACAACCACCAATAGTTACAACTGTCAATAGTTACAACTACCAATAGTTACAACTACCAACAGTTACAACTGCCAATAGTTACAACTACCAATAGTTACAACAACCAATAGTTGTAACTACCAATGATTGTAAAACCAATTGTTGTAATTTCCAATTGTTTTAGCTTTTATTTATTGTAAATACAAATGAATGTATACTACCAATTATTGTAAGAACCAATAATTGGAACTACCAAAATAACATTATTACAAAACTTTCTAGTGCGTGTTAAAAAATTGTTATTTTTAGACAGACAGTGTGACAGACACATTGGTCGAGTTTGGGACTTAATGTCGCCTTCTCGTGCATAAATTAGGCAAACTACATGTTTAAATGCAAAGAAACTTTCTCGCGAAGTGAGAATGAGGACGAGAGGGTACAACAACAAAAAAAAAAAAAAACACACACACACACATATACAGATCTTCGTCTGGCGTCTGTTCTAAATATGCATGGGACGATTTGCCATGCTTGATAGAAGAAGAACTTCACAATGTAACCAGTTTGTATGTGTATGTGTGGGTGAATGGCAGCGACCTCCAAATTGAGTCACGTCTGCTCCAAAGGCCGTGTTAGATATTTTATGATGCGAACGGAATATTTAACGGGAGCAATTTAAGGTATTTCCTTAGTACCTCACAATTTCCCAGCCATTTATCCATATATGAGAAAATTATCATTGAGTTTTCAAAATGTTATATATATATGTGTATATATATATATATATATATATATATATATATATATATATATATATTTGCGAATGCCAATTATGTAATAATATTTGTAACCGCGAATTTTGTTTTACATAAACACTTTCTGTTAAAAGTTAAGAAAAGTGGCGGGTCAACATAACCTCAAAAACCTGTCAAAACTAAAAATTTGTTTTTAGCGCAAGCAAAATTATAATAAATATTAATTTCAAACAATTTTAGAAGATCTACACCCAGAGAAATGATTTATTTGAATCAAATAAAATATATTTAAATTAAATAAACAAATATTTGTCTTAGAGCCTACTAACTTATTTATTTGACGTAAATAAAAATTTTATTTGTCATAAATAAATTTTTCTTTGGCTCAAATAAATTTTTTATTTAAATGAAATAAAATATATTTTGCAACAAATAAATGAGTTAGTAGGCTCGGAAACAAATATACCATTTCTCTGAGTGTAGATTTACTCCTTTCGAAAAAAATTATTTTTTACCAAAATATTTTGTCAATAATTATTTTTTTAACATTTAGTTTTTTTTTCTTTTAAATCAGACAAAAAGTGTAATTTTTAACCAATTTTTATAAACAAAAGCTCATTTTACTAAGTGAAATATTCTTTATAATTGTTACCTTTTTTATATTATAATAAGTATGTTCTTAAAAATTTTTAAACAATTAAAATTTTATTTATTAAATATCTTTTTAAGAACATACTTCTTATAATATAAAAAAGGTAACAATTCTAGAGAATATTTCACTTAGTAAAATGAGCTGTTGCTTATAAAAATTGGTTAAAAATTACAATTTTTGTCAGAAAAAAAAACTAAGTGTTAAAAAAATAATTATTGACAAAATATTTTGGAAAAAAATAATTTTTTTCGAAAGGAGTAAATCTAGATCTTCTAAAATTGGTTGAAATTAATATTTATTATATTTTTGTTTGCGTTAAAAACAATTTTTTAATTTTGACAGGTTTTTGAGGTTATGTTACCCTCCTTAAAATTGTATTTTAAATTAAATTATTATGATATAAAATAAATTCAAAAAAAAAAAAAAAAAATTTCCCTATTTTTGAGGCGCATATATACACATTTTCAAGTGAGAAATAAGAGATAAATTAAATAAAAAGAAAATTGACTTATTCCTGTTGAATTGAGTTGAAAAGTAATGAAATTAATTGGTTGATTGTCAGAGGAGACGAATGCTTTTTCTCTGAAAGGAGAAGCCTATTTAAATTTTAAATTTCACCAGAGAAGACGATGTCTCGAAAGACGTTGAAAAAGGGGTGTATGCGCCTCTCTATCTTTTTCGCAAGCGCAACCCTTTCAACTCCTTTTGGCTTTTAAGCGAAGGGTTTTTTGCCGCAGGATTAGAAGATTCAAACTACGTCGTTTAAAAAAAAAGGCGAGAGGAGAATTTCTTTTTTAAAAAAATATACTCTCAACGCATAATAATTTAAAAAAAAAAAAAAAAAAAAAAATAACAATATTCTATTTTTTGAGAGAACAACTATAAATCAATCAATAATTTTAAAACAACTAAAAATTATTTTAGAACAACTACCAATGATTTTAAAACGCAACTATAAATAAGTTTAGAACAACTATCAATGATTTTGAAATCACCCTCTTTAAATCTGAATTAGTAAAAATGTTTACTAATTTAAATTAGTGACTCACTTTTTGCTTTAGATTTAGTTAAATTTTACTAATTGTTAGTAAAAGTTACTAATAATTAGTAAAATTTTACTAATTCAGAAGCAAAAAGTGAGTCATTAATTTAAATTAGTAAACATTTTTACTAATTCAGATTTAGAGAGCCATCAATATTGTAACAACAAAAACTTTATTGTGAATGAACGCAATTGAACAATAATTGTTAAGAACTTGAAAATAATAACAGTCAAAGAATCATTTCTTTGAATGATACTCAATGGAGGCATTTTATTTTGATTGATGAATGCCAATAGGGATTTGCGAGCGATATATATATTCAATCCAACAGAAAGGGGTTGGACCGGACATGAAACCAGATGTCGCAACTAGGTCGAAAATGATCTGTCAAACCCAAGTTTCAAGGTGCCACGCCTTGTCATTGTCAACAGCAGTACACAATGTCGTGTTGTATTATTCACCAAAAACCTTATTGTGTACATCCCAATATATATATATACATAACCATATCGACATTATACAAAATTACAAATCAGATTTCAAAAAAGAAATTTCATCACTTTGTTTTAAAATTTTATTTATTTATAAACACTATTTTAATAGTGTAATTTAATTAATGGTATAATAAAAACTAATTATAATTAATTCATAAAGAAATTTTTGTTTTTCTTACGCGTGATGACACAAAGTTTCGTAACATTCGATAAAATTTTATTATTCGGAGGGAAAAAAAAAGAAAAATTGAGAGAATTGAAGTAAATCTGAGGGATTGAAATAATATGAGATAGGAACAAGAAAATGTCATGTCGATTTTAGTAAAAGGAAGAGAGCAGCAGCACAACAGTACCTTATCTTGGTTATAAGGGAGCATTTGTGACTCTATCGGATGGGTAGAGAACAATTTACCCGAGTGAAATTCGCACAGGAATTGTGCAACTGTCACGAAAGAGAGAGAAAGCGAGAGGGTTGACGTTAGTTCCGCGACGTTTGTCGTCGACGTCGGGCAGATACTGTCACATTCAGACGCCGTTTCGCCAATGCGCTCACCAACAACGACACACGTTTCTCTATTGTTACCTCTATATATATATATATTTTGTAACGTGGACGCTCTCCTGTTTACATCATTTTCCTTCCCGCAGGAAATTGAATATTATCGGACTAGCGCCGCACATTTACTATATATATATTTATAGAAACGAAAGAGTGTTACAAAATTTGGTAATTGAAAAGATGTTTTAAATTACTGTAATAGTTGTTGTAACTAAAAATAATTGTTATTAAATATTAATGTTACTACATATAATTGTTACTACAAATAATTGTAATAGTAACTGCAAATAATATTAGTTATATAAAACATTGTAACAACCAATTGTTATAAGAACCAATAACTAAAACTATGTACCAGTAATTGTAACAACCAATTGTTGTAACTTCCGGCAACAATAACTAGTAATTGTAACTTACCATAGTTGCAATTTCCGGTAATAATAACTATTAAATTTTGTAACTTCTAATAGTTGTAACAACCAATAATTGTATTTACCAATTAACGTATCTACCAATAGTGATACATACTACCAATGATTATACTACCAATTGTTGTAAGTATCAACGATTGTAACTATACCAGCGATTGTAACAACCAATGATTGTAACTAAAAAGGATTCTAACTACCAATTGTTGTAACTACCAGTAATATAACTGTAACTACTAATTGTTGTTTCCACCAGTAATTGTAACTACCAATTGCTGTAACTTACGGTAGTTGTAATTAGCAACGAATTTGACTACCAATTTTTATAGTTACCAGTAACTATAGCTACCTATTTTTGTAACTACCAGTGACTACCAATAATTAGAACTACTATTAATTCTAACTATTTAACAATTGTAACTACCAATTGTTGTAACTTCCAATTATTGCAGCAATTAAAAATTATAACTGCCAGTAATTTTAACAACCAATAATTGTAATTATCAATTGTTGTAACTGCCAGTAATTGTAATTACCAAAAATTGGAACAACCAATTATTGTGCTAACAATTATTGTAATTACTAATACACGTAACCACTGGCAGTTGTAACTACCAATTGTTTTAACTATCATTGATTTTGTAATCATATGTACCAACCGATGAAATAATCAATAAAAAAATTTTTTTTTGAAATTCTGAAATTTACAAAAATTGTAATTACCAATTTTTGTAACTACCAATAATTGTGCTACCAGTAAATACAAATTATTGTAATAAACATTAATAGTAACTATTATCAATTTAATAACCAAAATTAAAAAATATATTAATAGTTGTAAAAATAGAAAAAAGCTACAATAATTTTTTTTTTTCAAAAACATAAAAATCAAAAACTACTTACAACAGTGGAATGTTCATAGAACGTGAACAAACTCAATAATAAAGTAACAGCTGCTTTTTTTCGGGGTGTAAACCAGTCGAGTGTGGAGACATTTCTTGTGTTTCTTACCTGAAACAAAAAAAAATAATAATAATGAAAGGAGATTATTAACAAACTGGTTCCAAGTACTCATGAATTTAAAATTGTCCAACGATATCGCTTCTGATCGTCTTTTCACGTTGGTATATTTTCTCTCTCTCTCTCTCTCTCTCTTTCTTTTTCTTCAATTTTTCTTCAACCGTTATATATATACCTCCTGCGAACCTTCAGCAATTGACCATTTCCTGTATATATTAACGCATTTTCAGCACGAAATAAAAAAAAAATATATATATATCACGGTTCAAGAATTTTTGATAGCCCAGGGAAAAAGAAAGCAGATACTCAACGTAAATTAAGTTCCCCAAATTTACTTGGAAAAAAAAAGAAAAAAAAACAAAAAAAAACAAGGCGGACATGCACTTCCTGCTTTTGCAAAATTTCGTGACCGTATCGCACACTATATACTACTGCTGCGTACGAAATTTCATGCTTTGTGAAACAATGCAGTCTGAAATGCAGACACCGTGACGCCAAAATTCGCATCGTGTTTCGAGACCCTTCTATTAATCACGGACATTGCGCGTTTCGTGGTTTCTATATATATATATATATATATATATATATATATATATATATGCACAATTCACGAAACGTCAAAAGGGCGTATTTAGTGCGTCATAACGGAAACATAAAACATTTTGTCAAAAAATTTTGAGTCGACAAGAAAATATTGTTTTTCTTATTTTTTAATTTATATTTATATTTATTTATATTTTCATAAATATTAAGTACTTAATATATAATTTATAATTAAAAAAAAAAAAATTTTTTAAAGTTGCGAACAATTTCCATTGAAATAATTAAAAATGACACTAACACGACTTTAATTAAAGATATATAAGAAAAGCTGTATTTAATTTCATTTCCCGTACGCGAACCAAACGAACTTTTTAATTGGTTTTGAATTCGTCCAAAGGGTTATATGCGAGCCTCGGGATACAACATTTTTAATCCCGAGATCCAATTGGAGATTATCTAACGAAAAAGGGCTTTTTAATTAAAATTGAAAGAATGCTTTTATATATATATATATATATATAAATTGGTAACATTAAATTTTCTCTCTTTCTATTATTAAAATAAAATAAAAAGTGTAACTAAAAATTAAAAAATAATTTTTCATTTTTTAAATCACAAAAAAGAGTGTCTCTTGAAAATAAAGTACGAAAAAACAAAATTTGCAGACAAAAATTGTTAATTCTTAAATAAGTAGAATTTTCTGTCGAAAATATTCTGCATAAGACAAAATTTAATTGAACTTGCGGTAAGCCGTGAAAGGAAACTCGTTACACGAGTAGATAATTTCAAGGGACGAGTTCGTAAGGCAAAAATAAAAAAAAAAAGAAAATCCGAAAAAAATGACTTGGAGCAAATATATTCGAGTTTGGCTCTCTCTCTCTCTCTCTGTTTATCTCTCTGAGAGTCGTCCAGACGTGTAAAAAATGGCAATTGTTAATTAAATGCACTCAGCCCCAATCCGAGATATATCCCCCTCGTTCTTTTATCACTCTCGCAATTTCTCTCTCGTTTATATATTTGTTTTCATACTTTTCACGACATATTTATGCACCTGCAATAACACATGTCACACACTTCTTTTCTTTTCTCCAATATTACATTTTTCCATATTTCAAAATTATTCCCTTTTCAAATTTTGATGAAATGAAAAAAAATAATTGAAGAAACCAAAAAAAAAAAAAACTAATTTTTATTATTAATAAAATATTTTTTAATAATAAATATATCCTATATCTAAATTTTCATCAAGCGATAATTCAAAAAGCAACCAGAGAAATTATATATTTGTCTCAGAGATAAATAAATATTTATTTAATTCAAATAAACAGTTATTATTGATTCAAATAAATTGTTTAATTTAAATAAAAATTTTATTTATGACAAATAAAATTTTTATACACGACAAAATTGAGCTAGTAGGCTCTGAGGCAAATATATACGTTTATTTAACTCAAATATATTATATTTGATTCTAATAAAACATTTTTTTGAATCTAAAAATTAGTTTAAAAAAAGCGTAAAAAAATTATTTTATTCTTTTTACCTATTGGGCTTAATTTTTCTTAAATAAATAATCGATTACTTGAATATTAAAAAATAAATATATTTTATTTGTATTAAATAATTATTGAGTTGAAATACAATATATTTAATTTAAATGAAAATTATTTGGTACAATTAAATATTTATTTGATCGATATAAATCAATTCTATTTTTTCCCATGTGTATTCACAATAGGAAATTTTCAACTCCTTTACGAAAATTCGTTTATTAATTATCAAAAAAAATTAATAACCTTTCGTGAAAAGTTGTTGACGATAAATAAAAATTAGTTATATTCTCTTTGAGAAAAAAAAAAAAAATTAGACGAGAATTTATAAGATTTTAAACGAGGCAAGTTTTGCATTTTAAGGTAAAAAATATATATACAGCAAGTGAATAAATCCTCTCTTTTTCTTCTCGCAACTAATTATGGTCGTAGTTTTACCTTGCTTCTTGAATTGGATTAATGCTCTCATCTCTCGCAAAAGAGAGGCTTTTTCTTAGCAAAAAAAAAAAAAAAAAAGAGGTTTTTATTTCTATCCGAATATAGTCCCAAGAGTAAATATATATTTTTCCTCTGAGAAAAAGTATAACGTTACGTCGACGATTCCTTCCTTTTTTTTCTCTCCTCTTTCTCTCCTGTGGTTTTCGCGAAGCTCTTTTTTTTCTTTCTCTCTCTCTACCCTAGCACACTACCACTATAAATGCAACTATATATATGGGTGAGTACTTTCTCTCTAATTTCTGACAAAGCACTTCGGTTGCGAGAGGCCGCGGTGGGTGTTGAGCTTGTCTGAACTGGCTTTTAGGGTCCGGAGGATTTAGCGGCATCATCCGTCCAATTAACGCGACCCTGCATCCATAGAGAGAGAGAGAGAAAAAAAAAAGCTCTATTCGAACACTGTACTTCTCAAATTTATGCCAGAGAAAAAAAAAATTCTGATCAAAGAAAATGGATTTTTTTGTGCTTTTAGTGTCGTTAATTATTATTGACATTTTCTCTAATGACTTTAATTATCGAAGATTCAATTAATTAATTATTTAAATTATTAAAAATGGTAATTATTAAAAATGGTATTTATTAAAAATAGTAATTATTAAAAATAGTAATTATTAAAAATGGTAATTATTAAAAATAGTATTTATTAAAAATAGTAATGACTAAAAATAGCAATTATTAACAATTGTAATTTTCTATATATATGGTTGTAATAGAAAACTATAAAAAAAGTTTAGATGAAATAATGTATACACTGAAAAAAAAATTTATTTGATTCAAATACTCAATTACTTGAGTATTATCAAATAAATATTTATTTGAACGAAATAATTTTTATTTGAATTAAATAAATTGTATTTGAACGAAATAATTTTTATTTGAATTAAATAAATTGTATTTGAACGAAATAATTTTTATTTGAATTAAATAAATTGTATTTGAACCAATAATTTTTGTATTTGAAACAAATACCATTTAATTGACTCAAATAATAATTATTTGATACAAATAAATATTTATTTGATAATAGTCAAGTAATCGAGTATTTGAATCAAATAAATTTGTTTTTCAGTGTAGTTAGAATAAAGGAGGGTTCTAATAATCGAGGTTTTTACTGTACTTGTTATTACAATTACAATTTTTTTTTCTTTTTTCTTTTTGAACAATAAAATAGCAATATTTTTGACAATGAAAATAACCATTCGAAAGTAACATCTCGTTTTCGATTAAGTTCTCCAAATATCTTTCAATCCCCCTGCCCCCCCCCCCTAAAAAAAGAGGGGGAAAGGGATTCCTCTCTCTTGAAAAAATATTCATCTTGATAAAAATCAATGTATAAAAAAATTCATTTATGTAAATTTGAATGTCCAATTCACGAGATTTATTTTATTTTTTCTTTCGCCTTGTGTCTTTCTATATTGAAAAAGTTGAGTTTGATTATAGAAATATACGACCCCTTGAAATGCTATACATATATACAATACCAAAAGCTCGTCTTTCGCATTTCTATATATATATATATATATATATATATATATATATATATTTGTATGATATCAGTTCAGATAGAAATTTATGAGTTTATTACAAAGAAAATCAAATCCGGTATTATAATAAACGGGGTCGCATGTTAAAGAAAATGTCAATAAGTAACATTATTTTTATGTCAATTTTTTTGTTTTTTTTTTTTTTTTTTGTTGCAAACACTATCAGCAATAAGAGGTTTTTTATTTTCTTATTTGATATTTAGAGAAAGGGTTACTTATCGTTAAGTAAAATTCCAAAGTGATTGTTTGCATATATATATATTTTATCGGTTTTTTTTTTTTAATAACAAATCAACTGAGTTAATGATAGGCGACTTGAGTGACAAATGAAGACGAATCCTCTCTTTCTGACGGACACACATTTACAGTCATTAATCTCAAATTGATTTTATCCGGTTTAATATTTTTTTCCATTTTTAATTTTACATTATTATAATAATAATTTCTAGATTTCTAATTGACAATTTTATTTTTATTCATTTATCCCATCGAGGTTATTTCATAAATAATAATAGTCATTGTTAATTTTTATAAACTGATAAAAAAAGAAAAAAAAATATTTCTTTCTCATGAAATATTTTCAATATCACTAAATTGTTTTAAAAAATTTGTTAAAAAAAAAAATAAGTTTTGAAAATAAGATAATGAATTGTGGGAGTGCAAAATAAATTTATTGCTTCTCATTGTTATCGAACATTATTATCGAAAATTTCTTTATAAAAACGAACAGCGATAACCTCGAAATGTTGCAAAATAGATATATATATATATATATATGAATAATAATTATTATTATTGTCGTCGGTTATAATCGCAAACTAAAAAGGGAGGAAAAATAAAATTTTCTCTCATAATCATC